AGAGAGGGAGGCATCCTGATCTGATCTGATATATGCACATATGCATGCAAGGTTATGCACACAGGCATACACTCGTGGAGGATCTCATTAGCTCCCTTTTACTGACAGACACACACACACACAAAGTACTCTCTCGGCTGAACAGAGCCTGCGTGAGATGTCTGCGGGGATTTCAGGGAAAATAAATAAACTAGCTGATGGGAGAGCAACGCAATAACATGCTTCATGGCAAAAACAGCCCTTAATGAGTTAAATTTAGAGCTTACAGTGAGTTTCATCTATGTTGAATAGCTCTACAGCAGAAAACAGCACTTTAAAATATAAGCTCTGTGCTAGAAATTCACACAACTTGAAAATAAAGTGTGTTTTTCTACAAACTTGACACTTTGGGAGTCACTTGGGGTCCATTTGGAATGTGCCCGCAACCCACTTTTGGACCCTGACCCACCAGCTGGAGGAATATATTGGCAGAAATGGAATATATAATATGATAAGTATGTTTTCTTGAGTGTATAATCATCTGAAAATAAGAATCATTGTGTTTTAGTTACCTCAGAATGAGCCGTTTGTATCTACATACGGAGCGGGCCCTCTTCCATGGAGGTCAACATATTGTTCTACAGTAGCCCAGAACGGACAAAACAAACACTGGCTCTCAGACCATTTGTGTTTTAACGTCAGCCACCGTAGTTCTCCTGTAGGGAAGCTTCAGTTGGTTGCTAAATGCCTCTAAATCCTACCTTTAATTCCTCGTGATTGAAATACTCTTCAATTTTGGGCTCTAAAGAAAGAGTTCAAAGGTTAAAAGAATCCACCTTTGGCACTGCTACAACTCATTGACATGTTACATCTTGTTTGTTTGCTGTGATTAAATGGTTAATGGAGTTGCTATACCCTGCAGGCATACAAAAAATAAGGCACGTGTGTGTGTGTGTGTGTGTGTGTGTGCGTGTGTGCAGAGGGATTTGTTGTTGAAAGGTAAACTGAAGTAGATTGCAGGACATGCCTCTCATTCTTGGAGTGCACCATTGCCTGTCGCTCAACATGCTTTCATTTTCCCTCCAGTGTTCCCCTCCTTGGGGGTGGGAGGGGTGGGGGGGGGTGTTTCGTGGCATGGGCCAGGACTTAGAGCTGCCACACCGCCAACCTCCGCTGCTCCGGCTGTGAGAGAGCTCCGTGCCTCCTGGGACAATGCCTGCCTTGATAAATGCCAACTCCAGTGCTCAGTGCATGGAGAACGGTCCTCATTACTCATACAGGTTAAGGGTTAAATTCTTGTGGGGTCGGCCAGTAGGTGGCAATATCTCTGAAATGTTTGCACCCACGGTGGGGGCAGTTTGTCCAGAATTCAATGAGGAGCCGGTGAATGTTTGATTCTTGTTTCTCCTTCAATCTGTGCGTTTATTTCTTCAGAAAATAGAAAGAAAGTCTCCCAGGAGCACAGATGTACATGCACATTTCCACCACCTCAAATCCTCAAATCTGTCCAGTGACCTTGTTCAGTATGTGACAGTCCTGTTGCATTCAGTGTGTAACGTAACAGCCAATCAAAAGCAAGGCCTCATGTTGATTTCACATCGCTTTAGGACATCTGCCTTGCTCGGAGTGCAGGCAAAGACTGCCCCCCTTGAGAAAATGATGTTATCAGGAGGTGATGAGGGAAGTGGGACACGGTAATCCTTCTTCATAATGCACCTCCTGGTTAGGCTTTAGATGGGATGTAAGAGAAAACCTCCCTACCAGTGCTCCTTGTTAAACCAGGATAAATCACCTGCTGGTTATTACATCTGTAATAAAATCTATTTCACCGGGCAATTATTAAATATCATATGTGGGGTTTAAGATAATTTCAACCCAATTCAAATGAGGTATGGGGTTCTGCCCTGATCATTTAGTGATGAAATGTACTGTTGCAGCCAACCCAGAGCTGGAGATGGCAAAGATAACACATTCCGAGGATGGTGATGGTGATTGCATGCTGTAGCTCTATCACTACCACAACACAACAGCCCCACAGGAAGTCCCGTATCTCCAAACTACTCCCATCCACTATCAGCATCCTTACTGCAACATCACTTGATCACCAAGCCAGGAAATAAATAGAGTGGATTGTGGAAGCTGAGACACAGATGCTCATGTCCATCGATACATCTCTGCTGCTGACCAAGCAGCCACTCTGCTGCAGCAGCAGCAGCAGCAGCGGCTCGTCCTGCATACATACCATCGTATTGACAAATGCCTATACTGCCTGTGTACGAGCAGGAAACGACACACCTGTCATTTCTTATTTTGCGCTGCGTTGAATTGCTGCGATCCATCCTGTGTGATAAAACGCACGCCAGCAGGACTACTCAGTAGCCCTGTTACAATTAACACACTACAACTGATACAGATGAGCCGGAACAGAGATTAAATAGGCTGCTCTCACAGTGAGCATTTCAAGCGCATTTTACTTCATCTATTCACGCAGACACTGGAGACATCGTTAATAGTATCTTACCGTTAAAACCGTAGAAGGATAGCCTCTGCTGACTGTCAGATGAAGCGATGCTCCAGAGGAGGAGGGAATGATGCTCAACACTTCTACCTTCATTTATATGTACAATGTCGCCCCCTGTCGGCTGAAGGTGGACACTGCCGGTAACAACCGTGTTCAAGCATTCACGGTGACGAACTGTTTTGTTTCGTGTTTATGTACAAGAAAAGTCTTCCTTAAATATTTTGAAGCGCAAACAGCGTCTTATTAATATGAAATATTCACAAATAATTTTTAGATTGGGTTTCGCGAAAAGGACTACTATCAAGTCAGGCGAAATATAACCGCACTTCCGTTCATTATCTTCAAAATAAAAGCCGAGAAACTAGTGTCTTTTAGTCCCTGCCCAGTGACTACAGATGAAACTTAGATAACAGCTAACTCTAGTGCAGCTACATAGCTGTGCACTGTCCCTCTTAGAGAAATAAAATAAAATGAAATAAAATTATTAGATGATGAGATTAAATTAAATTAAATTAAATTAACTCAAGGGGGCTGGACCAGTAAAACCATTGCATAATAACATCTGAATAACAACGTTTCAAATGTTTCTGTTTTTTTAGTGTCAAGAAGAACATTCTGAAAACAAATAATGAACAACCCATGATATCCTAAGAAAAATATGTGCAAATTCAACAGTATGTGTCAGTCTTTCCACATTCAGACAGTTTGCTACTCACTTTCATTACATGTACATTTTTTTCTTAATTTTCCACTCCCACTAAAGTGAAAGCTATTGAGGAAGCAGGTTAAGTCATCCCTTGCCTCACAAATCATTTTAAAAATTAAAGTTTTGCTGGTGCTTTAGCAAAAGGGTTTTACCGATATGGCTTTAAGATAGAAATCTGATACAGATACTTTCATACTGAAGCTGCTGGATGACAATGTTTTGCACAATGTTCAGTATCTTTAAATATGACCACAGTAACTAGTCACTGTTAATTCAGAGAACTTTATTCTGGCCAGGATGGTAAAACCTCAGGGGCAGCATTTTACATGATATATCTGCTCACTGTTTAAACTGCTCCTGAAACCTGGCACCTCTTAGCCTTCACAAGTGCGTCAATATTAGGTGTGCAAAGTCATAGTGGGCCAAATTGGACCCTTTGGTGGGCCAGTTCTGGCCCGGGCTGTATGTTTGACACCCCTGCTATAGGCTAATCAACAGCACTAGGGTTTGGTTCAAATAGGCTCGCATCAGTAATGTGGTTAACCCATCTGCTGTACTTTCTGTGTGAATGCATATGATTTTCTTTCAGTTCCCACTTGGATTGGATCCCATGGTCTTGCTTGAGGTTTTTCAATACACTGCTTGACTTCTCTTTGTCAACACTGCATACCACCGCCAGAAAATCTTGAGCGCCAAACATTTCATTTCCTGACTTGTGGAGAATTTTTATACACCAATTTAAGCATTTTCCGCATCCATTCGTGTCTTTATGGCTTTTATGTCTGCTATCCTGATGTTTTTATTGCGGGGTTCTAATCCACAAGGGCCTTGAACCTCATTCAACGACAAATGGAGGCCCTGCAACCCTGAGTTTGGCCACATAAGCCTACTAATGCTAGATGTTTTTTTTTTTTTTTTGATAATTCTGGGATTTAAAAGTAAAATATTTTTTGTTATACATCTGTACGCCAAGGAACAAAGCGTCAGCTGTAACATGGGAGATATGACCATGAATATTTATGATTGGAGACACACTTAAAAAAAAATATTCTGATAATAGTTACATATAATCATATCTTGTCATTTTACAACCCTCAGCTTTTAAAGTTAATGATAAAACTAAATAAAAAGTAGACGTGCCTTAGTCATGTTGGATTTTATACATGTTAAGAGTTTGGTTTAATAAAATGTGCAGCTGCAAATGATTGCAACCATATTGCCCAGCTCTGGTAAAATGTACAATAATCAAACTAGTAAAGAGAAACTGGGCTGTTTTTCCTGTGTCTCTGGTGTCCCCCTGCAATCTACACCCTAAATTGTAATTGAAAGTACATTTAAATAAAATGTGTCTTTGTCTTTCCTGCATTCACAGTTGTATTTTAGAAATACTACACAGGTATTGAGTTATCAGGAAAAACTTTTTTTTTAACAATGCCTTTTAAAATGTGTTCCTTTTAGTTTGTTTGTTTATTTATTTATTTATTTATTTATTTATGTAGATTAACTTGAGATCACGTGCAGGATTCATGTTCAACAACTTATTTCTTCACTTTTAAGCTGATGGAGGAGTCTAAAAGACCATTTCCGGTATCATTCAATCTAACTTGACGCAGCTTGACAAAGCCCTGCTCCGAGGGTCCTAAATTAAATAGGCGACTAAATATATGCCTGAGATCTAGAATATAACTTTCTCTGGTTATATAATTTTTGCAAAGGTCTACGCACATTTAAATGTTTAACGTATACTTCTAAAATACGTTTAGAGTCAGGAACGACCGTTATTCGGACGTTTTTCCCGGATGTTGTGAAGTCGTGCTGGTGTTTCACTGGCGATGTTGTCGGCGTTGGGTCTTCCAGTCGGAAAAAGCGCCAACTTCTGCTACACCGTCTGAATCGTCTAACAGTCTGTAAATGGCTCTAAACCTGGATATTCCGTGAAATATATTAAACTTCAACCTGGAATGACTCATTCAGGTAAGAGTTGATAAAAAGCTGCAGACACTGTGGGGATATTTGGAGTTAGTTTAGTTGAAGTGGACTGTTAGAAGCGGCGTGCTGCTTGTTTTCGCCTCCCACTTCTCCGCCGCACCGTTTTGACCCAGTTTTGTGGCTGTGCTGTGTGCAAAGTGCAGTTTAATGAGCCGTCTTTGCTTCGTCTCTGCTGCTGTGTAACGACAAAAAGATAACGGTTGTTCATGTTAACGGCTCTATTTCAAACATAGAGGAGGCAACGGAAATAAGAGAAGCACCAGTAAGTTAGCGTTAGCCGGCTAACATGTTATATAATTCGGTGTTCAGTCGGTAGCCGGGTCGTACTTCCTGAACTAAAGCTGTTTGCAGTAATTTAAGCTAGCTTGTTTGGTTGTAGTCACTCAACTACACAGTGTTAACTTAACGTTAAGTGCGTAGTTAGTTACTTTTCGGTCTCGTTGAACTCTTATGGCGCCTATTGAAATTACATTCTGTTTCCTGTTCTCGCCAGTGAGGGGCGCTGTTGCATCTCTGTAGAGGAAATAAACCCTCAAGATACCAGGAGCAAAGATGCCAGGTCTGCAGGGGGAACATGTCGTGGCGGCGCTGGGGAGCCCCGTCAAGAAGAGCAAACTGTCTCTGAAGTTCCTCCAGAAGAAAGAAACTAAACGGGTCCTGGATTTCTCTGAACCTCAGGCAGATGAACCCAAAACTGTTGAACAAGTGGAGCCTGAGGCAAGGTGGGTCTCTGCTGTCTGTCAGTGTGCCATTAATGTGGGGTCACACAAAGTTCAGAACACAGCTTTTATGGCCCTGCTTTACTGAAGAATGGTGTGTCTGGTAAAGCTGTCTGTTACTTCTCGCCTAAAACATGCCTGCCAGTCATGTCACACATTTTAGGTGTAAATGCATCCTTATTTTCCTCAAATCATTATCTTCATGCTTTTAAAACAATCAAAATTAATCTAAAAATTTTTCGATCATTTATATCAATGTTTCTCAATTGATGATGCCAATCCTTGCGTGCCGTGGGATTTTGTGACAACCACACATTATTATTGTAATATACAACTGGGCCTATATAAAAATATATAAATTTTAATCTACTATATCAGTATGTAGTGCACACCCATTTTCTAATAAAGAGGCAAACTCTAGTAAATCAATGTAATTTAATTTAATATAATTTAAAAAAAAAAAAAAAAAACCTTCATGGGGAACCTATTTGTCACCATTAACACATGGGAATTATATGTATGTGACACATCAAGAGCCCTGATTGACAGCCAGTGTGAGGGTGATAACAATTACAAAGGAGAAAGTGTGAGAAAGTGGGATGTGGCCACAAGGCTTAGAAACCCAAACTAATACTTATATCCAAGGGAATCTTGGACCCCTGATTGGTCCTGCAACCCTGCTTTTTGCCAGATAAGCCTACTAAAACTGGATATTTGAGTAATTCTGGGATTGAGCATAATAACAATAAGCATTATATGTTGAATTTGTAACATAGATATTATGTTACCATGTTACAAATTTCAGTTCTCACACTAAATGACTTGAAGCAAACGAAATCAAAACTAGCCAGTTATTTGTATTGAGTTTTATACACTACATGATAAGAGTTTAGTTTCATGTAATGCACAGCAGTGGGTAGTGATTACACCCATATCGTCCAGCTCTAGTCAAACTGCACGAGTCAAACCAGTAACAAGTAACTGTTCTTCTTTTCTGTTTAATTTGAAACTGTGTTTTCTTCTCCACATTCAGCAGCTGTGATCAGGTGGTCCCTGGTCCTTCTCCATGTCCAGCCTCACCTGGCCTTCTCCTGCCATCTGAGAAGAGAGAGTCCTTGGTGCCATTCGTGGGGCTCAACAACTTGGGCAACACCTGCTATTTGAACAGTATCTTGCAGGTGGGTCCTCACCAGAGACAGAATAGATGTACATCTTTCATGTTTTATAACCCATATATGTAAAATGTATAAATAGGATAATGTTTCACAAGGCAAGTGTAATTATTAGACTAAACAACTCAGTAATTAGCACAGGCAACCAAGACCATAATTTGTATTTGCAAAGGTTCTCTGTATTCATCTCATGGAATGAATATCCTGCATCATAACATGAATAGTCCATGTTTTTTACACTGATAATTTATGATCCACATCTCATCTGACTTCAGTGGTGGATTTCATTTTTTCCCTTCTGTGTGTGGTACAACAAGTCATAACATAACGTCAAGATACAGGCCTTGTCTTGCACAAAGAATCATCAAGCAACTTACCAGGAAGTAATTTAGAAAGAAAAGAAAATGACTTTCTTGTTCCTGGGAATATAGTTGAACATAGTTGGCAAACAGTGTCCTCTGCGGCTGATGAATAATAGATAACAACTTGTAGCTAAGTTGCTCCTCCGCTGTGTTATGTCTCCTCAGTACTGTGACATACTTTGTGTTCAGATCAGATCCTGTCACTTTGGCTTATCTGTATTGGCAGTGTTAGAACATAAAGAGATGAGCAGGCACTGGAGGTTTGATCACACGTTCCAGCACTTGTATGATCTCTGCCACACCTGTTCAGATGGAGTTTCTGTAGCTGTGTAGTCATATTTCTTCTCTTGTTTGGAATAAGAAGTACTTTTTTCTCTTGCAGAGTAAAGAACATACACTATGTGTTTGGGTCACTCTTCATTTTGGCCACTGACTAGACAATAAGGCAACATATTATGCAGTATGGAAGCAGGAAACTTTTCAGTGTTGTATTAGTGTGTAATGCTTTGACATCCTACAGGGTAACCACAGTCTTGAAAAGGCCTAAAATGTTCAATTGCATCAAAAAGTACCTTATGAAAAATTCTACATTTCATTAGTTATTATCGAAATGGTTAATCCAGCCAGCCATTCATTCATATCCATATGACTAATCTTGTTGGTGTCTTTCTGTCCCTGCAGGTGCTGTACTACTGCCCAGGGCTCAGAGAAGGCATAAAGAAGCTGTACAACCTGTCTAAAAGAAATGAAAAACCAAAGGAAGAAGCTGATGCAAGTGAAGAGGTTGGTGCAAGGCAAATTACCTTTATTTTACTAGATTTACATTTGCAAACAATGGCCTCCAAAAACGCATAAAATCAACACCACTAATTGAGAGTCATGAGGTTAGCACATGTAATTTTGGGCTATTGTACAATACGGTACAATCAAACAAGTAACAGTATATATATTATTACTAAGCTACAGTTCAGAGAGTTTTTTATTTCATACATTTTTTGTTTGTAATTTCTTTCTCAGCAGTCAGAAGTTGCTGCAGAGACTTTGCCACCTCAGATTGAGCTCATTGGGAGCTTCAACAGTCTGATAACGTCCGTGGAGCAGCTGCAGTCCAGCTTCCTGTTAAACCCTGACAGCTTCAGTGAAGGAGAACTCGCCACACCACCTCGAAAAATACTCTACACACTCAGGTAATGATGTGGTTATTTGGAATTATAAATTAGACCCAGATGGCTGACCCAGTGATGTAGTAGGTAGCAAGGTAGTTAATTTGCACCTGAATTAATCAGTGTGACAGAACTGCCTTTTCTGTCACAGATAAATCAGAAACAAGTTGTGTTGGTGCATGATGTAGAATGAGACATGAGTGGAATTCTGATTCTCTTGTCTTTCCTAAAAATGTTAAAGAAATTGTTTTCTTAAACTACCATCAGTGAACTAACTGTGACGGCTCCATATGTGTTGCAGGCAGCTGAACCCTATGTACGAAGGCTATCTCCAGCATGACGCCCAGGAGGTGCTGCAGTGCATCCTGGGATGCATCCAAGAAGCTTGTGATACCATCAGGAAGGAGCAGGAGTTGGAGACGGATGACATCAAGACTGAGATTAAACTTGAGAACGGTGTCAATTCGGGCTCCAGCAGCTCTGTGACAGAATCCAAATCTCCCACAGAAGAGGACAGCCAAGTCAGCGGCAAGAGAAAGAGCGACACCGAGGTGGGGAATGCCAAGAAGAAGCCGAAATCTGTCAAGAGTAAGAAAACCGAAGCTGAAGATAATAGACCCCTCACTCGCTCAAAAAGGAAGTCCTCCAGTGACATCGTGATGGACAGTGCCCGAGACAAAGATGGAGAGGAGGCAGAGGGCGAAGGGATGAAGAAGCTAAATAAAGAGGAGGGAAAAGAGAGCGACAGCGAGGGGAAAGGTGAAAAGGCATGTAAAGTGGCAGATGGGAAAAGAAAGAAGAGGTCCAAGCTGAGCTGGCTGAGGCCTTCTGGGAAACAACCGAGTATTTTTTCCAAGTTCCTCAGTGTGGGGAAGATCAGCTCTGTCAGGAACCAGATCAAGTCAGAGCAGGAGAAAGAGCTGACTGACGACCAAAGTCCGAACGAGAAGACCAATGAGGAGAGATCAGAAAACACGGCTAAAGACAAGAAAGCAGTGGAACATCAAGGTATAGTTACTATAAGAGGAGTGGGACATGGGCTGTGCTTTTATTTGGTATTGATTTAATATGGGTGGTCCTATTTGCCGGGTATACTTGAGTCTTTGAACAGAAAATCATTCAGCCGTGTGCGTCTGTGTTTCCGTCCTATCCAGATGGTCTGGACCTGATGGAGCACTTGTTCCAGGGTCGACTGGTTCTGAGGACTCGCTGTCTGGAGTGCGAGAGCTTCACAGAGAGGAGAGAGGACTTTCAGGACATCAGTGTCCCAGTGCTTGATGACGAACCCAGCAGCCCAGATGACTTCTCTGAGGGTGAGGAGTCTTACTTTAATTCCCATAGATACAATAGCTGTTTGCACCTGGTCAGTCCTGCTATCATTGGGAGCTTTCCTGTACACCCTTCATTTTTTTCCAGACCACAGTGCAGAAGAAAAATAACTAATTCAGTAACTGATGTCCTCTCTCTTACCAGTCTCTCCTGATCCCAAACCAGAGCTGAAGACTCTGAAATGGGCCATCGGCCAGTTTGCCTCAGTGGAGCGCATCGTTGGCGAGGACAAATACTTCTGTGAGACGTGTCATCATTACACGGAGGCTGAGAGAAGTCTGCTGTTTGACAAAACTCCTGAAGTGATCACCATTCACCTGAAGCGTTTTTCTGCCAACAGTTTAGAGTGAGTTGATACATTTTTTAACACATTTACGGTCATTTCAGGCCATACCATACTATGGCATTTTTATGCCATACCATACTATGGTATGTTTATGTCATACCATACTATGGCATTTTTATGCCATACCATACTATGGTATGTTTATGCCATACCATACTATGGCATTTTTATACCATACCATACCATACTATGGTATTTTTATGCTATACTATACTATGACATTTTTATACCATACTATGGTATTTTTATGTCATACCATACTATGGCATTTTTATACCATACCATACCATACTATGGCATTTTTATGCCATACTATACTATGGCATTTTTATACCATACCATACTATAGTATTTTTATGCTATACTATACTATGAAATTTTTATGCCCTACCATACCATACTATGGCATTTTTATGCCATACTATATTATGGTATTTTTATGTTATACCATACTATGGTATTTTTAGGCTATACTATACTATGGTATTTTTAGACCATACCATACTATGGTATTTTTATGCCATACTATACTATGGTATTTTTATGTCATACCATACTATGGCATTTTTATGCCATACCATACTATGGTATGTTTATGTCGTACCATACCATGGCATTTTTATGCCATACTATACTATGGCATTTTTATGCCATACCATACCATACTATGGTATTTTTAGGTCATACCATACTGTGGCATTTTTAGGCCATACCATACTATGGCATTTTTAGGTCATACCATACTATGACATTTTTGTGCACTTATTTTATGGAATACTATATCATGACTTTTGTAAGAGCCTGATATTACACAGGAATATAACTCCTCTCCTTGTTTCCTTTCCTCCTAGGTTGGACCCATACGCAGGTCTGTCCAAAGTGAACACGCCTTTGCAGACCCCTTTGACCTTGTCTCTAGAGGAGTGGTGCACCTGGCCCTCAGCTGCAAAGGATCAACACTATCAGCTGTTTGCTGTGGTCATGCACAGCGGCGTCACCATCAGCAGCGGACACTACACCGCCTACGTTCGCATGTCCGATCTGAAAGATGTGAAGCTCTGGCTGGGAGACAGAAAAGAAAAAGAGGAGGAGGAGGAGGAGGAGGAAAAGAAGAAGGAAAGTAAAGAGGGAATACAGGTGAAAGAGGAAGTGCTGGACTATGATGATGGAGAGGTGTCTTTCAGCCTGAATGCAAGGGGACAGAGAGGTGCGAGTTTGGCTGGCAGCAAAACTGGAGGAAAGAAGCTGTCAGAGGGTGGGGTCGGACTCTTGGGGGGGCAGAGGAGTCTGTCTAGCTGTGACCTGGGGAGCAACAGCAGCAAACACACAGACAAACCAGCCAGCAGTGGCTCAACAGAGGGATCCAAACGGAGGACACCAGTCAATAGCCTGGGCCAAAATACTGAAGCAGGACTTACCAAGGAGGCCAAAGTAGGAGAGGAAGCATCAGTGACTGCCTGTGGAGGGGCAGAGGCCACAGAGCAGCAGGCTCTGAACAACCTCCTTGAGTATGAGGGCAAATGGCTGCTGTTTGATGACTCTGAGGTGCGTTTGTTTGAGGAGGAGGATTTCCTGCGAGCCTGCTCTCCTGAGACATACTCCTCATCCACACCTTACCTGCTGTTCTACAGAAGGATGCCCGAACCCGGACACTAAGGCGATCACAAGGGCCGCTGTTGATTCAGGGGGTTGGGGCAGACAGACCTTTAGCAGTTGAGCACCCAGACAAAGTACAGTTGTATTTTGCAATACTATAAACAGTGCCAAAAATCCAGTGGCTGCCATATTATCACCTAAACTGAAGATAGATTTTACAGAGGAAACAGGTGTCAGAGAGCCTCGCCTCAGTGTCCATAAGCTCAAGGTTGTATTTTAGAAATGGGGATTCATTTTTACGTGCCGGGATTACTTCAGTCCTTTTGAGACATGTTTTGGGAGGTTGTGAATTTAACCTCTGTAAACTGAGTACAGTGACCTGTCTTTTTGCTGTCTGTACTATTCTCTCTTGGCTGGCTTTGATGATTTTTTTTTCTGCCATTGTCTAAAACGTCCTTTTTTTTTTTTGTTCAATGTTTTCTCAGCTATTGAGTTTATATGATTCCTTTTTACAAATTGGAAAAGCACTTTGGAACTAAAATCTCATTCAATGAAAATGCAAAAATGTTGGGGAATGTCTTTTTCTAGCTGAATACTTTTCTAAAATTCATTTGCATTTACAAGAGACTACGTGCTGTGTTTGTTTGGAATAGTTTACTCAACTAGAAGCCAAAATAACAACCAAATATATTTGCCATTTGCAGAGCAATACACAATACACTTCATGGGGTTAGAAAGAACAACATGCTGCAGATTTTATTCCTGCAATATTTTCTGTAATTTTGGAGAGAACTTTGCCCACCTCCCATACCAGCTTCTCAGAAACTTTGTTTTGCACTGATTTATTAAATTTTGTAATACATCCGAAGCCTGAAATTGAAGCCACCGATGCTGGAAACAGTGTTGGACTGATTTGTGACTTCTACAACAATGCTAGTTGTGCCAAGCGTATACATATTTTTGGTACTGTTAATACTCAAATAGTTTATGCAGGATGCTGATAGTCTCGCTCATTTCACATCAGGAGCCTTTTGAAGGTGCCAGTGCAGAGTAAAAGTTGTGAAACTTAAATGTATATTTCTTCACTCAGCTATCATATTTTTATAAGATGTGTTCAGCAAGATTATGCCTCGTTCATTTTCCTGTCTAACTTAGTGTGTGACTAACAGTTAGCTTAATAGATCTGTTATTGAATTCAGAAGACGGGTTAAATTCCTGCTCAGTGACTCTTGACTCAGACATCATACGACCTACCTCCAGTTCTGTTCTACTTAAGATCATTTTAAGACAAAATAATTAAGCACAAAACATTAGAGCAGCACAAGACACATCTGAGCGTTATTGATGTAACTGCTTGGTATCTTCAGTTTGTATCGATCGAGTGTAAACTGTAGCCGAGAGCATTGCAAAACAAAATACTCTGGCCGTAAGTGAATCAACATCCTACTGCACTGCAACTTCCACAGATGTCAGGCTCATTCCAGGCGTTGGACAACTGAAATACCTTTGATTGAAAGGTGACATCGTTCATTTAGGTTCCACAGCTGAGTGTCTATATATCCAGTTAGTTTCAGGGATTGAATCAGTTATTATTTAGCTAAGTGAGTAATAGTCACTGTGGGCTATGGTCAGTATAAATCATGTGTACATGGGAACTGTTTTCAGAGCAAGTTTTAGAATGCTTTCCGATCTGGTTTAACATAATGTGACAGGCCCAATGTGTGTGTTGTCTCCTTTAAACTGTACCTCATTCCAGCTGTAAATATTTTAATGTCGGCAGGTTCATTCTATAAGCAATAAAGTTTTTACTTTCACGTCCTCTCTGGTGATACTCTTATTCACATCCTTATGATTTACTGTCCTACATAAACAGAAATAATACATTAGGAAGCAAAGAAATAACCAGCGTACACCTGACTGAACATTAAAATATTTATTTAGTAAAATATTTAAAATAAACAAAACAAAACTACATAAAATTATACAAGGATGTTTAAAGTACCTAACTCAAACATTCTTTCAACTAAAAATGATAAAGCATCATGATAAATAATGGTACCATTTTTTGCATGTTTTCATTTTTTCTTCCTCCCCCCCCAGTTTTGAGTTACATAAACTTTCAAGTTGTAAAATGCATTGCTACACCGTAATAAAAAAGTGCACACATGAAATTGAATACAGAGTTTTGACACAGTACATAGTTAAACAGACACCTTGACTTTTAAAATCGTACCTTTTCTGTGGACACTTGTCGAAATTTGGCGGAAGAAATATGTTTTTTTTTGGCACTTTAATTCACCAATAAAGGGAGCTCAGAGCATTCTTTGTATTCAGTGGCTTCTTAGTTTACATCAGTGGTCTGCGGTAGCGTAGGGACAAATATAAAGACTTGTCCCTTTGTGTGACAAATGGCCAGTAAAGAAAAATTCTAAATGCCAAGGTATCTCTTTAATCTTTAAGATCCACTTGTTCGTCCCTCTGATTGTGTAACAGTTTGTCTGTAAACAAATTAAGACACTGGAATGACGTACCGAGCTGCAACACTTTGAGCCTTTCTTTTAGCACACTCTCCAAAACACTGACCAACCTTCAAGACACTCCTATTTACACTCGAGAATAAATTAATATTGCAATTTCTGGTGTGTGTGTGTATGTGTGTTTGTGTCTGTATTATTCTTCATCTTCAAATGTCAAGCTTGCGAAGACTCAATCTGCTGAAGGAATCTCTGGAAATAAGAAAAGAAAAACATGTTTTTAATTTAAGCAGAGAAATAAGAGTTTTTCAATGAACAAGAAAGTGATTTGGAGGGTTACACTGTTGGTTGGTTTTTCCATTCCCATTGTTTATAAAGACATCTGGCTTGTGAGAGTAGCAACACTGTAAGGCTGGGAGGACTAAAACGTCCATACATAATACAAACACAGGACATAGAGACTCAAAACAGCATCACAAAATGTAGTCTGAAAGTCCCAAACTACCTTGTCAAGCTGTCCGTTTGCTGCGTGATTTTTACAGAAGCAAAAACAAAGACTCGTTTAATTTAACATCCAAAACATACTGCAGGATATGTACAGGAATCCTGAAGTTAAATTTAATACCACTTAAGACCTTTTACAAGACCCTTTGCCTACATGTAAGACGCCATTGCCACTGTAAGTTCTAACCTTTGTAGCTTATATTTACTATACACTGATTGTAAGATAGCACTACTAAACAGTCTCAGTTTGTGATAACTCTTTGAGCCACTGTATCAATAAAGCATTGATCAGAGAGTTGGGGCGGGAACAAAACACAAAGGAATGAACTAGGTGATGAACACAATGCAAGGTTTATTACAAAGTGTAATATCAGTACCCAAGAGCTAGAAACACAATCTTATTCAATGTCATACAAAAGCCATAGTAAAGTATGCCATAAAATGTCTATGAAAGGATCGTATAGTATGTCATAAAAAAGTCATCAAAAAGGTCATGGTATAGTATGCCGTAAAAAAGTCGTCAAAAAGGTCATAGTATAGTATGCCATAAAATGTTGTCAAAAAAGTCATAGTATAGTATGTCATAAAAAATGTCATCAAAAAGGTCATAGTATAGTATGCCATAAAAATGTCGTCAAAAAGGTCATAGTATAGTATGCCATGAAAATGTCGTTAAAAAGGTCATAGTATAGTATGTCATAAAATGTCATCAAAAACATCATAAAATAGTATGCCATAAAAATGTCATCAAAAACATCATAAAATAGTATGCCATAAAAATGTCATCAAAAAGGTCATGCCATAAAATGTTGTCAGAAAAATCATAGTATAGTATGCCATCAAAATGTCAATGAAATGGTCATAGTATAGTATGCCATAAAATGTTGTCAAAAAAGTCATAGTATAGTATGTCACAAAATGTCAATGAAATGGTCATAGTATAGTATGCCATAAAAAATGTCATCAACAAGGTCATAGTATTGTACAGTACAGGCCAAAAGTTTGGACACACCTTCTCATTCAATGCGTTTTCTTTATTTTCATGACTATTTACATTGTAGATTCTCACTGAAGGCATCAAAACTATGAATGAACACATGTGGAGTTATGTACTTAACAAAAAAAGGTGAAATAACTGAAAACATGTTTTATATTCTAGTTTCTTCAAAATAGCCACCCTTTGCTCTGATTACTGCTTTGCACACTCTTGGCATTCTCTCCATGAGCTTCAAGAGGTAGTCACCTGAAATGGTTTCCACTTCACAGGTGTGCCTTATCAGGGTTAATTAGTGGAATTTCTTGCTTTATCAATGGGGTTGGGACCATCAGTTGTGTTGTGCAGAAGTCAGGTTAATACACAGCCGACAGCCCTATTGGACAACTGTTAAAATTCATATTATGGCAAGAACCAATCAGCTAACTAAAGAAAAACCAGTGGCCATCATTACTTTAAGAAATGAAGGTCAGTCATCCGGAAAATTGCAAAAACTTTAAATGTGTCCCCAAGTGGAGTCGCAAAAACCATCAAGCGCTACAACCAAACTGGCACACATGAGGACCGACCCAGGAAAGGAAGACCAAGAGTCACCTCTGCTTCTGAGGATAAGTTCATCCGAGTCACCAGCCTCAGAAATGGCAAGTTAACAGCAGCTCAGATCAGAGACCAGATGAATGCCACACAGAGTTCTAGCAGCAGACCCATCTCTAGAACAACTGTTAAGAGGAGACTGCGCCAATCAGGCCTTCATGGTCAAATAGCTGCTAGGAAACCACTGCTAAGGAGAGGCAACAAGCAGAAGAGATTTGTTTGGGCCAAGAAACACAAGGAATGGACATTAGACCAGTGGAAATCTGTGCTTTGGTCTGATGAGTCCAAATTTGAGATCTTTGGTTCCAACCGCCGTGTCTTTGTGAGACGCAGAAAAGGTGAACGGATGGATTCCACATGCCTGGTTCCCACTGTGAAGCATGGAGGAGGAGGTGTGATGGTGTGGGGGTGTTTTGCTGGTGACACTGTTGGGGATTTATTCAAAATTGAAGGCACACTGAACCAGCATGGCTACCACAGCATCCTGCAGCAACATGCCATCCCATCCGGTTTGCGTTTAGTTGGACGATCATTTATTTTTCAACAGGACAATGACCCCAAACACACCTCCAGGCTGTGTAAGGGCTATTTGACCAAGAAGGAGAGTGATGGAGTGCTGCGGCAGATGACCTGGCCTCCACAGTCACCGGACCTGAACCCAATCCAGATGGTTTGGGGTGAGCTGGACCGCAGAGTGAAGGCAAAGGGGCCAACAAGTGCTAAACACCTCTGGGAACTCCTTCAAGACTGTTGGAAAACCATTTCAGGTGACTACCTCTTGAAGCTCATGGAGAGAATGCCAAGAGTGTGCAAAGCGGTAATCAGAGCAAAGGGTGGCTATTTTGAAGAAACTAGAATATAAAACATGTTTTCAGTTATTTCACCTTTTTTTGTTAAGTACATAACTCCACATGTGTTCATTCATAGTTTTGATGCCTTCAGTGAGAATCTACAATGTAAACAGTCATGAAAATAAAGAAAACGCATTGAATGAGAAGGTGTGTCCAAACTTTTGGCCTGTACGGTATGTCATAAAAATGTCATGAAAAACTCATAGTTAAGTAGGTCATGAAAAAGTTGCAGTTAAGTTACAGTTAGAGTAAACTTTTCAGGTACACTTGATGAATTAGCTTCTGAACATTTCAAACAAACCCAGCCTTGTGTAGCGGTTTCAAGTTATGGCAGCCATTGTGGTGCTGTTGGGGAACCTCACTGGTGCAACTGTGAAACTGTACTTCTTGTTCGCTGTTTTTCTCACTGACAGGCCCAATGAGTGGTAGAAGGGGCACAAATATCGATATGCAAACAGGTGTTCCTACATCCATTCATAGCCACTTGTAGGAGTGGACATGAGGTATGTGCATGTGTGGCAAGCTCCACAAGAAATAAGACATGTAAAACAGAACCAGACGTACGTATGTCTTTGAAAATCAGATGAAGAGATTGCATAGACATATGTCTGTCTTTGTGGGTACACAGTTTTAGTTGTGAATCCACACAGTTTTATGCATCCTGGCTCTGCTGTCTGCGTCCCATAGCAGGTTTGTGGCTAGCACTCAGCATATGGGACCAGACAACAATGGTGGTGTCTCAGACTTTTTAAGGGCCTTAATTCTCCCAAAATGATTTTATCAACCTTTAATACTTTTTGAAAACTCTGTGGACACCTTATATCATCTTCAGTCACACACAGAAATGGTGCCCATGTTCAGTCCTACCTGTGTGAGTTGACCTGCAGTACAGGTTTATAAAGCTGAGGGATTTTTCTGTTGATGAGGGGCTGCAGTGCCTCCTTCAGCCGGTGATAGTTCCTCTCCAGCTCCCTCTGGTACTCCTTCTGGTCTGGACCAATCAGGCTCTTATTCTTACGCAGGGCATCTTCACACCTTTGACAGAAAAAACAATGGAATGTAGATTATGTATTACGTTTTGACTTTTCTGATAGGAGGAATAGTTTGATACCAAAAATGCAACTGTAGACAGAGAATCTTTGCTTTGCTCAATTTGGCGCAAAGCTTACTAAGACATTTGATATATGGGCATAATTCCACGGATGGATTCATCAGCCACAGTCCATACCTCTTTGTGAAGTCTTTGAAGCAGAGCCGTAGCTTATTGTGGTGCCTGTAAAGCTTTGGGTCACTGGGAATCTCTGACAGAAACACCTGAGCCACCTCCAGAGGACCCTGAGGAAAACAAACAATATGATTATCAATCTACAAATTTACCTATCCTGAGAAATTCCTGT